AACAGTAGATCAGATTCTTAACTGATGTAGTCTACTCTACTGTCTTCAATAAAGTTGGGCCAATTTATGCCACATCTGCTGCTAGAGAAATCAATATTTCACTGTGGATTTTATAGTAGGAAATGAATGATAGAATGGAATCATAGAATCATAGAATGATTCAGGTCGGAAGGGATCTTTAAGATCATCTATTTCCAACCCCCCTACTATAGGCAGGAACACCTCCCTATAGACCAGATTGCTCAAAGCCCCAACCAGCCAGGCCTTGAATGCTTCCAGGGAGGGGGGGTTGGATCCACAACCTCCCTGTGCAACCTGTTCCAGTGTCTCACAACCCTCACAGTAAAATTTTTTTTCCCAGTATCTAGTCTAAACCTAACCTTTTCCAGTTCAAAACCATTTCCCCTCATCCTGTCACTACCTTCTAAAAAGTCCCTCCCCAGCTTTCCAGTAGGCCTCCTACACGTTACACAACATTTTGTTTCAACAGTACCACTGGTTCTTCATGCAAAGTGTCTCTGCAAAGTCATTCTTTTAAGAAAAAAAAACAAAAAACAAAAAACAAAAAACTTTTTCTATCACTATATTCATATATTTGTGTAATATGTACCAACACATATACGTAGAGATGGTTGAAAAAAGCAGATGCATAAATATATAAGAACAGGATGTCCATTACTTAGAAAATGCACTCTAGACTGCTTCTAATGTAAAGTACAGAAGGAGGAAAAAAAAAGAAGAAGGTATAATTCAGCAAAATTTTATGAGTTGAACTAAAAATTTTTAAAATACACAGAGACCGGAAAAAGTAAATACATTACAGGTGGTAGCATTATATAACTTCATATGCAATAACTTAATGTTTTATGTACATCATAAATCTGAACTAAACTTAGAGCTTCTTTATTGATTACGAATGAGAAGTAAACTGCAACTAAAGGGATCTCAGAACTTTTAAGTTCATCCAGTTAAAAATGAGTTTTAATCTGTGAGACACTGACAAGAAATTTGGAATTAGGAGACAATAAAAGAAGATGGGTTAGTTCTTCAGACAGCATCTATTGAATTACCTCCACTGAAGAAATTCTAATGTTTTCATGCTGAGGATCTGGCAAACAGTTTTGTACAGCTCTTTGCAGTTCCTGCCTCGAGTGTTAAAAAAAAGTGTACTCTATACTTCCACCTGTATGTAAGGGTTAAGTAAATGGAAAATTCTGTTCTTTCCTTAAACAGGACTGTTCCCCACTTGTTCATGCAAACTACCCCAAAGGGAGCCCTAGGGAAATGGAGCAGGGCTGCTCCCCCTGCTCAGGCATGCACAAGCAGGTGCATTCTGCATCCTGTTGTGCTTTTCTAGTGAGTTTAATGCACCTCTGTGTCTCCCCGCAGTTGTATGTGTTCCTTTCAAGTGCAGATCTGACTTCTGCAATTTTGCAGCCATAAGGATATCATTTCTGCACATTTGGTACTGTTTCCACAGAAGTCAGTGGGAGTAAAGCATAGCTCAGCTAATCATTTTCTTATATTTTGTAGTAATTGCTTTCTTGTACTATATTGCATTAGCTGGAGAGAATGTTGCATGTTGCCCAACTTTAGGTCTCCAGAGCTGATGTAGGTGTCTGTATTAGGTCATCTTACTTAAATTCAGACACATACAGTATAGATATTTGCATACAAGCCAGTTTGCCGCATTCAGTGAAGGTACAAATATAGCCTCTCCCATGGATGACCTCAAGGTTTAAATTAGGTTCTTCTCAGGTATTCTGCACACACACATGTTATGTTCTGTCTAAATATGTTCTTTCCTGCTTACTCATGGCTTACGTGCTTAAAGTCTATTCAAACATTAGCTTTATTCTTCTCTCTAAATACTGTGGTTATTCACTCCCACATCTGGAATGGATTTAAGCGCAGATTAGTCTGCTTTACTCCTTAGAATGCAGTGTAATTCACAACATATTAGGCTGTATACATTTGCACAGATCATTTTTAATCAGATGCACAGCATGCTGTTCATATCCTTTTACCTTTTTATTATTATTTCCTATACTGTAGTTCATCAAACTCAATTATATCTGCCTAGTTTCATCACTAAAAATGGCTTTCTTCAAGTATGGAATAGGGCTGTAATACTGTTTCATATAGAAGAGATATTCAACAGACTTAACAAATCATATTCCCCATTACTTTATGACTGTCACACAAAGTAATTTATTTCCTTTCCCTAGACATAAGAGTTGTACCATATTCCAGTCTCTTGCAGCCTATGCCAATTGTTTCCAGTGTCTCCTCTATCACTTCCCACTCTTTTCTTTAAATTACATTTTTTCCATCCTCTTCAGTTTGACACACACTAATTTCCTCTCCTCCAGCAATCTCAGACAGGTGGGTTCTATTCTGCCATCACATAAACAAGCAATTTTATTAGACAGTAGGTACATTCGCCAACTATTCCTCTAATCTGTTCACATTTACCTCTCTAAGTGCTTTAAAATAAGCAGATGGTGAAGTTTCGTTAATTTTCCACAAGTTTGTGGCCAAAAATGAATCTTCAGGAAGTATTTTAGATAGCAATTTTTTTTACTCAAAATCAATCCCTCACTGTCATTTTTACTTTTTACCTTTTTTAGCGTGTTATGAAGGCATAAACTGTTTATGATACAGAAGCATGGCTCTTTGACATGTCCATAGCTGCTGTTTGACATCAACACATAAACCAGCTGGCTCCTAAAGATGCAGAGTGCAGGGCTAAGATTGCATCCCCCCACTCTGGAATAGCTGCTGTCAGTCAAACACACTCCTCTTGCCCCTGCTCCTGCAGAAGGTGCACATTTGTAATTTCTGCCTAGGCAGCTGTGTAAAAGAAAAAGCTCTAACTCAGAGAGAGGCAGTCGAGAATATTTCTCGTGGCAAACCTAACTCAACCCATTCTCGCTTTATCAAGACACAGGTCATAGGCTGACTATCACATTTGTGAAAGCCTGGTATTAGGTGGGTACAGCTGCCTCCTTCTCGTCCCAGTTTCTCTTAGCACAGATAGAGATGGACTGAAAAGGAAGTGACTCCTCCTGCACAGTAATCCAGAGAATACAGAAGCAGAAGATGAGGATAATTTCATTCACAGTTTAAATATGAAATCAGAAGCTAACAGTGACAATGGCAGTTCAGAGGAAGATCCTCCTTTCTCTGGCTTGGGAAGCTGAAACCACAGTCCATGAAAATGATTCCAGCACTGGGTGCTAACAAACTGACCAAAAAAAGCAGTGATTTATATTTTGTTGATTGTTATGAACTGCTAGAAGAAAGCTAAAACAAACATCTTCTTTCAGCTCCTGGGCCAAATGCATCATTGACCCAAGTCTTTCAAAACACAGAATGTTAAACCAAGGTTGGATCTGGCCTCACATCTCAGATCATCCTTCCTATAAATTCTTGATAAACTGTGTGTTATTTTTATGACACAGTCATAAAATAGCCAAACGCAGAAGTAAATGACCTCATACCAGCTATCTCTCTGCAGATAGATTCACTTGGCAGATAGCCAAGGATTGATTGACACACATCTTACGGAACTAGAGTTAATTAATATGTCTACCAATTCCCAAATGGATCTCAGGAAGCAGAGAATCTGTTTAATGCAGTAAGCAATGACATACTGTGTGTGGTCAAGATACAATCACTAATTGCCAAAAATGCATTCTGGAATAAAACATTAACTAATATATATATGTATATAGGAAAAAAAAAAAAAAAAAAAACCACAAAACCCTTCTACACTGCAGCTCCTTTATTCCTTCAAAACCTTATGTTTATAAGACTCATGTTTCAAATATCAAAAGACATTTTTATAGAGAAGGATAGTTTTCAAACTATAAAGTTAACACTCAAAAAATCTATTAGCTTTTCTACAAGAAGAATTTCTGGTTTTTAAATAATTGAGTCCTCATTCAGTTAACAGTGATGTCTTTCTTGTCACAGAAATCTGAAAACCCGAATTGCAAAACCATCAGGTAAGTTGAAAGAGTTGTTCTTCGGAGATCACTGAAGCTACCAGTAACATGACTATAGGTTCACCAATAAAATATATCCTTAAATGTAGTGAGTGATTGCTGAAAATACATCAGGAATCTGGCTGCTAAACTGAAACAGTCTATGGAGCAACACTCAGTTAAGTCAGAATGAAAAAAAATTAAAAGTGGATTTACTGATATCATGTACTCAGATTAATAGAAAAAAGAAAAAAAAAAAAAAAAGAATATATATATATATATATATATATATATATATTGGCTTTCCTAAAAGGAAAAGGATTGAAATGGAATTAACTGCAGGAGCACAGAGACATTTTAGTATAATTTTCAGCCAGAAAAATAAGCATGGATCTATTGCTTTTTGTGGATGACACTATTTTTCACAGGAAAAGACCGTGTTTATCTATTTAGTTATCACAATCACTGACAAAACAGTGCAAGAGCTACTCTATGCTTTTTGCAGGACTAAGCAAAAGTCAGCAAAATAAAGGTTTAAAAAAATGAGGAAAAGAGAGGGAAAATGATTTATTTTGTGAGGAAACAAAACTTAGGTTGTATATGAAATGCAGTTGCTATGTCAGGTCAAACCTGAGAAGTGGTATTTATGAATATGTAACACTGTTTTAAATCCTAGCTGGAAGAAATCTACTGTGGTGTCAGACTGTACCAACTAGTAAAACATTAAAAGACAAAGCTGGTCTCAGATTAAAAGCACTGGCTCAACTATGAAGTAGGCAGAATGGGCTTATTGGTATTTATTTAAGACCCTGGGGGAAAGGATGCTGTGTGTGTGGGAGAAAAGCATAGATTCAGTTGTGATCCATCCATCAGCACATCAGCACCAGAGGCAGAAGCAGGTTCTACCAGATCTGTTCCCTGAGCCACAGAAACAAGGGAGTGTGCCTCATGGCTAAACACCAATAAAGATTAAATGAGGGAAAAGAGAAATATTGTTTTAAGATAATTTACCTCAGGATGGCTTCCAACTTCAATATAAGTGCACACGGGATGAAAAGCCCCCGTTCCACAGGCATACAAGTGTGTTTGGTTGTACGTCTTAAGCACCTTGATGAAATTAGCACATTCTCTCTGCAAAGAAAATGAAAAAAAAACATTTATCCACAAAGTTAATTCAGTGATTATGACTAATAGGAGTGTTTCTGAGTTGTGGATATACGTCTGAATGAGCAGATTTTAAAGGTGTGATTATTTCAAGCTGTTTATAAGCATGTTTAGAATGAAGTACTTAATAAATAGCCTGATTTAGGATCTCATTTAAATATCTTTGGTTGTCATTTAATAAAGTGTCCAGCCCTGAAGAAAAAATTACACAACAAATTTTCTTCATTTTTTTTTCAGACACTTTTCATCTCTGTAATTTATGGCACTGCCATGTTTGTAAGACAAAGCCCATTTATAGAAAAGTGTCAGAATGAAATAATGAAGAAAAATGGACCAACTGTTTGTATTCAATTAAGTAACAGTTAGAAAAAAAAAAGATGGGCCAGATGGAAAGAGTTGTTGAAAAACAAATCATTAATATAACATTTCTAACAACAATACAAATGCTGCCTCATTTCCATTGTCTATGCTTAGCAAACAGTTCTGAAAGGATGAATACATGCATTTAGCTTTATTGAAACTGTGTATGACTCCTGGAATGTAAGCTATGCAAGACTTGGACTTTACATTTTCTACCTGACCAAATTATCCATCATGAGTGATTTTAGTTCTCAGCACCCATAAAAAGTACTAACAGTCCCTAGCACAAACATAATCTGTTATCTGTTAGCAAAAATCTCATCATTAATGCCCTAATGGTATTAAAATGGAAATATCTAACTTGATAGTCAAGATGGACTTTTTTTTTTCTGTTTATTTAATATTTTCATTTCAATCAGGTCTAACAATGAAAATAAACATTAATGCCTGTGAATCAGTCTACTAAAACAATTATAAATAATGAATTTCAAATAGGAAAAAAGAAAAATGAAATAAAATAGCAATTTCCAGGAAAGTTTATGTTAAAAAAAAAAAAAAAAAAAAAAAAAAAAGAGGAGTATGTATATATTTTCTATTTGTCTGAAGTTTGCATCAGCATTTGGGTTCAGCCCCAAAAGGGCTTGCTCATCCATCTCTGTTGCTATACTCTCCATTTTCTACTTCTGCTAACAGTACTCAGTACTCAGTGCAGTGGTGATAACCACCTTTGCAAAGATCTCATCGACTGGCATCCTCCCTCTCTGTAACTTGCTTGCCAATTTAACTAGATAATCTCAAACAGAAAATGATGTCTCTGCCATGAAAATGCATGTGCAATTTGAAGCATGCCTTAGGCTACAACTTGGACAAGCAACAAACTTAGATAAAATACTGATTCTCTGCTTCTCATAATGCACTGCACTAAAATGACATTGCTCTTCAAATGTTACTCTTTATTTGCATAACAGATAATGGAGATGTATTAAAAAGAGTACCCCAGAGAAAAGTATACAAAATCATACTATGTCTTTGGTCTACTGCTGACAACTTAAGATATCTTTCCAACTGAGATGGAAGAAAAAACATAAAGATAGTTAAGGTAATCCAACAGGAAATTGAAAGAGATAGAGATGGATGTTACAGAGGACTCTCTTAATTCTTTCCATTCTGACCTTTCTTAATGAAACAACACACAAACTCTAGTGCATGCATATTCTTCCTCCCACATATATATAAACACAAAAATACATTTATCTTATCAATTCACAAACTGCTTTGCACTGGTAGAATAGTATAGAGTATTAAGCAAATACTTGGCATAAATCATTTAAATTACATTGTATTTCTATATTGTTCTTAATGTTATTTTCCTTAGTTCTTTTCAATAAAGGAAATATGGAGAAACTGTGTAAATATATTAATAATTCAATGCCTGCAAGAGTAAAAATGAGCAACTACTGTAAATTCACAAAACATTACAATAAACAAAACTGAAGCAGATCTTTATTTAAGCTCTGATATTCCATGCTCCAGCTGAAGCATCTAACATTGACTCTGCTTAATTTAAAACTGACCAGAAAATTGTGCATTACTAAAGAAACCAGAATTTTCTTCGTTTCGATTTGGATCTGGACAAATTTAATTACATTACTGTTTCAGTAACATTATGCCTTGAGTTTCCTGATTTTATTTTTATGATTTTAGAAATATCTTTATGATCTACTATGTTTTAAAAAAGTTTTTAATAATTGCTTGCCTGGAGAAAATGAAATATCAGGTGCCAATGGTCATACATCTTTACAAAAAGCTAGATCTACATCCAGCGTGGATTTAAACAGGTTTCAATGGAGCTATTCTGATTTACAGCAACATGGTAGCTGTGACATTATATACAATCAGTCAGCTGCCTATGACATAAAGCAAAAGGTTTTAGATAGCTACTGTTTTAAAGATGAGATGGAAAACCCTCCATGGTTTGGGAGCAGAGCTGCATTGAATTATTCCAGATTAGCCTATGGGAGAAAGACTGAAATAAAAAGAAAAGGAAAAAGAAAAGAAAAAAAAGAAAAGGAAAAAAGAAAGGAAAAAGAAAAAGAAAAAGAAAAAGAAAAAGAAAAAGAAAAAGAAAAAGAAAAAGAAAAAGAAAAAGAAAGGAAGGAAGGAAAGGAAGGAAGGAAGAAAGGAAGGAAGGAAGGAAGAATTTAGCTTTATGATAGCTATACTTTTGCTTCAACTGTTCAGGATTGTAGCGGAACTGTGTTATTATTGGTAGAGTTAAACCAGAAATATATTATATTTATATAAAAATTGCTTATATTATAAAAATTCGGCTTATTCATCCCTGCTTTCAAGCTCTCTTTATTTCATTATGCAACACATTATTTTACAGTAGATGTCTGAGAAAGACACAATCTAGTTAAACAGGGGGGAAGGTAAATACTTAGAACAATAAACCTTTGGCAATAACAAATAAATTTATATAACATTTAAAGTTCCCAGTCCTGCTCAGACTGCTCATATAGCTTCCCTGTGTTTTATAGCTGCATAAAGGAACCATTAAGGTCTATTCAGTAAATTCTCATACACCTCCCTAACAGATTAGATTTCTTTATATGTTTTACATGATTGTAAAAAAATAAATAAAGAGGGGTATTAAACCACAATAAATGACATCAAAGTAAAGTTATAGTTCTGATTTAAGCCCTTGTCAACTCAGGAAGCTCAAAGTGAAGTTTCCTCCCTCCCTGAGAGACTGCTATTCTTGCTGGAACAATAGTAACAGCCTCATTGATTTCAATTGCAGCATAATCGGAGTCCTTCCTTTGTCTAACCGTGCTTAAGTTCAACTGCACAGATATACTATGATGTGTGGAAACGTCATTGTACCTGTGAGTTTGTGAGTGATACCCTGAGTTGAGCAAGAATCTGCTCCATGATGATGAATATTTAATTTTCCCCATTTATGTGACTCTGGGAAGAAAAAATAAAAATAAATCTATACTATAACAATTTTAACTGGTCTGAATGATTTATTTAAACTCCAAATCTCAGCATGCATGTATGCTGAAGACAGTACTATCAGGGAAAATGCATGTGCCTTGAGAAGACTTGGACCTACCACTACAAGAGATTTGGGTGACCTGACTCAAGTGGCCAGGATCTGTTTCCTCATTCTTTCCCTGGTTGCATTGGTATTCAGTTGTGAAACCTGGCACACAGTTCTGCTGGTCTCAACACTGGTGGCTACATCAGTTCAACTACAAAGCAACAACCAACCCACTTGGCTGGAGGCCCAGAATTACGTGGTTGCCTCTAACTGGACTTGTCCCGCTTGGCAGCTGCATCTCCTGCAGCCGGGCCTTCAGGCCAGCACTGTACTGTTGGCATGAAGGTCCAAGCCAGCAAAAGGAGGCATTTCACTACATGATCTCAGAGCACAAGGTACTGAAAAGGAAGCAAAGACTAAAAAAGGAATGTAGCATCCTGGCATCTAGCAGATAGGAGAAAATATCCACTGGAGGTACAGAAGGTACCTCGGTACTCAGCCCTGGTGAGGCATCATCTCAAGTACTGTGTTCAGTTTTGGGCACCTCAGAACAGAAAGGACATTGAGGTGCTGGAGCAGGTCCAAAGAAGGGCAACAAGGCTTGTGAAGGGCTTGGAAATATGCCCTATGGAAAGACTGAAGGAACTGGGGCTGTTCAGTCTGGGGAAAAGCAGGCTAAGGGGAGACCTTATTGCTCTCTTCCAATATCTGAAAAGTGCTTACAGTGAGAGCGGGGTTGGTCTCTTCTCACAGGATGAGGGGAAATGGCCCAAGCTGCACCAGTGTAAGTTTAGGTTGGATATCAGGAAAATCTTCTTTTCAGAAAGGGTTTTAAGCACTGGAATAGGCTCCCCGGGAGGTGGTTGAGTCACCATCTCTGAATGTGTTTACTAACCATTTGGATGTGGTGCTCATCCATGGGCATGATTTAGTGGAATGTTGTTAATAGTTAGGGTACAATGGTTAGGTTGTGGTTGGACTCAATGATCTTTAAGGTCTTTTTCAACCTGAGCAATTCTATGATTATATTCTATGAAAGGAACCAAGAGCCAGAAGCTATAATAGTCAAATTATCAGGGAACTTAACTACTGTCCACATCTCTGTTCACTCTCCAAGGAACTCTGAATCCACTTTTGCTTTTCCCAGGAAGAGAATGTTGTTTAAATGTTCCATGTTCTATACATATTCATAACTTTTGAATGTTTTTCTTTAAGTAAAACAGTTTTAGAAAGAAAATTAGACTTTCAAAGCGGAAATCATGGGTGGAGTGAAGGTGGAAAATATTTTTAGATTAATACAAATGAAAATGAATGAAAAGTTTGCAGATTTCTTTGTAGACAGGAACATACAACTTGGATAATTAATGGCAATGCATTTTTAAAAAGAACATTGGAATCACCATAGTGAATCATTATAAATTTTTCCACCTAGTAGTCCTATTTCTTATAATGGGCAATTTCATATTAGGAAATTTTTCTTTCTGTATATAGCTAAATACAGGTTTTCATCTTAAAGATTCAATGTATTTATACATATATACAGCAGAAAGCATAAATGTTT